GTTTGAAACTTTTTGAAGATTTAAATGAGCTATTGCATAACATAGAAACTTTACAATAGGGATGCAAACAAAAACATCGATGTTTGCTCTTCGATACATTGAATAAAACAGGTGTTTTTGACCTTCCGATATATGTACATCGATATATCGATGTATTTTTGTCAATTATATCGATACTTTTGAAAGTATATAGTCACGTTAAGCGTCCCACTTTTCCTCGTTCAACAATGAGTGCATGAGGTAGTGTAACACAACAGCGTAAAAGTCAATCTTTTTTTTAATTCAACTTCCGAAGATGTGAGACGTTTCGGTGACTGCTGCGGTTGCGTGACGGTCGGTTACTATTTCTGCTACAACTAATGTGTTCTTTTTATATCTAGAATAAAGTTAATCACGTTTTATTTTATAATAAAATAATTCAATTTCTCTGAGTTTTATTTCTTATGCGTCGGCTAAGCCACCAAATCTACCTACCGCAACAAAACCGCCGACGAGGACAAAACTATAGTAATTTTTTGTTTTAACAAGAGTTGAAATTTAAATTCCCAGCGTACAGTTTCATAGACAAAAGAGGTTTTCATGCGAAAACTTGTGGGTTCATCCATACAAAATCTGTCAAACGAAAACACAGTTTTCGCTGAAAACCCCTTGAAAACTTACATTCCACTCATTATAATCGGTGCCTGCTCTAGTTTAATCGATATTATTTGAAGACATATTTTGCCAGCCCTAAATGTCAGTTGACAATTTGTTTACATTCCATAATTGGCCTACACATACCTTACAAGAAACTGCTGATGGGTTCACCAATACACTCACATTTGATATGTCAGTACTGTTAATTTACATTTGCACGCAGAGCTATTGAGAGGAGGAGATGGCATCAAGTGAAAATTTATTTTTATATTTTCATATTTTATTATATTTTTTGTTGCATTCCTTTTTATATTTAAGTAAATTATTATAACTAATTTTGATTAAAAGTTTGAAATTTATCAAAGGAATAAAAATTACATTATCTACTGCGCAAAAGAATTTTTTACTTCTGATAGTGTTTCAGTCATAACTGACAATTTTCAGCTATGACGGATTTATGGTCAGCAATGACTCAGAAAAATACATGAGAGTGAGCAGTATAGATATATAGTGAATCAATTCTGAATACCCATGTGTTAAAGAGAGATGAAAACTCACACACCTACGTTTGTTTACATCAGTCCACAAGGCTCTTAAGAAAATGATAGAAACTTTGTTCCGCGCGCTGACAAAATTTTTTCAGCTATGACTGTCATATTTCCCATCAGATGACCGTCACTGTTCTTGTGGGGTACATAACAAATGTAAACAAATAGATGTGTGAACTGTCAATGGAAACTCATCGAAAACACACAATGTCGGTCAGAACGACTTTGGTTCCCCAATCCACAAATTGTGTTTTCAAGAGGATTTCAATTCATAAGCTAGGTACTAGTACGCAGGTACATACATGGCAACACGCAAAAGCAACGTGCAACGAGGCGCGAAGAATTACACCCTAGCAACAACTCCATTAAACAAGTGCACCAAATCGCTTTAACAAGCCGTTACTTGAGACAGTCAAAAAAGTGGGACTGCGGTAAAGGCAACCAATAAAAAATAGTAATAAAAACCAATAAATAATAGGAAATTCGCAACTAAATGAAATAAAAGATGGAGAAATACAAAAATGAATGAAAAGTAAAATAACATATGCAAGGACAGCGAAATTCAAAATGAATTTGAAATTGAAAAATGCGAAAATAAACAAAAAGTAAAACAAATTAAAATATCATACATACAAGATAATAATTAATGCAAGAAATTCCGAAACGTTGAAGCGCATATAAAATAATAGGAATTTTAGCAATAACCCGAGAAAAAATAATTATTATCAAAACAACATGCGGAACAATAGACAATTGTTGTTATTATTATTGCAACGACAGAATTCTGCTGAGTCGACAGTGCCTGGCCGGATAAAAATTAGAGTCCGTTCCGGTTACATAATCTCGACTGTAGTGGGAACGAAAAAAAAGAGGTGAGGTTGGAACGGCACTCGGTAAAGGAACTCGGCAGCATTCCCCTAAACTACTGAAGGGAGATTTTCTGCCATAAGTGTTTGGTAATAATAAACCTTTAAGGATTAAAATTAAAGACTGTGTGCTTTTTCAATTTTAATTTTGATCGAATTCCACATTTATATATAAATATATTTAATTCCGAAAGACGCAATGGTTATGAAACCGGCAGTAAAACCTTATAGTGACACGTTCGATTCTGAATCAAGTGAATTCGAAAAGGGTTTATAAATAATTATGTTACTACAGAAGACCTCACGATAATGGCATTTACCCCAAGGAACTCTTAAACTGGCGCATATTAAAAACAAAAACCAAAACAAATGAATATAAAAAGCGTTTTATTCACATTTTTTTTAAGACCCAAGCATTTCTGAAGTGGGAGTTTTTAAATTTGGCCAAATATTGCGTTGAAAAATTCGAAACGAGGATGAAGAATGCTGTGGGTTGTCGTAAGCAAAAATATGGACAAAAATCGTGTAAGTGATATAAGAGGTGGGTGGGCTTTAGTTTAGCATCCCACGATTTCAGGGTTAAAAGGGGTATGGTTGGATAAAGGACATTCTCCAGATCACTAATATATATAATTATTGCCGCCGGAAACTTATAGTTTTCGAGATATTTGCATTTTAGGTTAAACATTTCACAAATTTTATTTTAAAATTTCTCGATTTATGGTTAACTTTTCTTTTATATTATGCAATTATTATACACTAACACTTCACTACAATGTTTCTACATATTTATTTTATGTTAATTATTTAAATATTTGCTTTAAATAAGCATTTTATTTTTACACAATTTTTGTTATATGCACAATAACAAATTGGTTCCATGTTGACAAATAACAAGTGTTGCCATATCTATTATATATATATTTATATTTTGCCAACGAATTAAAATGAATAATAAAAGAGGATTATACCCCAAATACATGAACCATAATTTTGTTAATTATTTTCTATTGATAAATTATGGAATTGAATTGGCCAGGGTTATTTTCTTGAAGCGCGGACGAAGGCCGCCAATGCGGAAACAAGTTTGACGCGATTGAATTATGAACACCCCGCTGTTGGACCGACCAGGAAATCTAAACAAAAAAAATTAATGTTAAAGAGGGTATATAACTCTCTTTAAACTTCAATTTCTATAACGGAATTTTCTACAACTAAACAAGGTACCGTTTCTTTTTTTGTCCGTTTTGTCATTATTTTCATATTCAAATTGAATTGGTGAATATTGTGCATACAAGTCATTCCGCAAGTTTTTATATTTTTTACACATTTATCTAAATTGTGATAATTTTTAAAAAAATGAGTGGAAATACATCAGGTATGTTATTAGAAATTTAAAATTAAAATTTAACCAAATATTACTTAAGACTTTTAAATAGATTGTAACGAACCGTCAACCAGCCGTGATGTGGTAAAAAAACCAATGTTTTCACAGTGTCCGAAATCAAGGAAATGTGGAATTTCCCTAATATAATCCAAAATTTCGACACTAGTGAGTAATGTATATCATTTGCAGAGGAGGAGGGCTTAATTTTGAAAAGCAAATTATGCCGTACGCATAGGAAACCTATGTTGGTATCCTTATCTGATAGGAGTACGGTTGGTATATTCCGATGCCGGAAAGGTGCCTGCCGTAAACGGACTGCGGTGTCGAGGTCGAGTGGGACATGGTTTGAAAACGCAAAAATACCACTGCCTCAAATTTTTTATATAATGTATGCATATGCATCGCACTGGTCGCATCCAGAGGTTCGAAAAAACGGTTTTATTAAGGAGCCAATTTTATCCAGCGCTACCATATGTGACTGGTACAATTACTGCCGCGAAGCGGTATTTTTATACCAGGTTGATCACCAGGTAGCGGTAGAAAAAATTGGCGGCCATGGTAAAATTGTTCAAATACACGAGAGCAAATTCGGGAAACGAAAATATAACAAAGGTAATATACATTATTATTTATTTTTCATACTCAATTATTTAATTTTTTCTTTTCTAGGACGGAGAGTGGAAGGCCACTGGGTTCTAGGGATGGTAGAGGATGGGAGTGACGACCTTCGGCTGGAAGTGTGTCCCGAAAATGTGAGGTCTGCTGATGTGCTCATACCCTTAATGCAAAGACACGTTGCACAAGGTAGCATCATATAAACTGATTGTTGGAAGGCGTACGACTGCCTGTCCAGTCACGGGTATGAGCACCGACGCGTTAACCATAGCGATCCAGACAATCCGTTTGTTGCCGAAGATGGAACACACACGCAGAGAATAGAGTCCCAGTGGCGCGTTATCAAACGGTTTTTTTTAAAAGACAATTATAATAACAGTGAAGATTTTTCAAATTTGATTTATGAATACGTATGGCGTAAAAATGTTGCAAATCAGCATCGCGATCCATTCGTGAAACTACTAGATGCAATAAAACATAAGTTTAAGCCATAAAACCTTTTTCTTTTCTTAAAATGGAAAATTTAGTTCATAATATTTTGTGGAGGGTAATTGGGTTTTTTATTTATTTTGATTGCTGTCATTCGTTTGGATATGGCAACACTTATTATTTGACAACATGGAACCAATTTGTTATTGTGCATATACCCAAAATTGTGTAAAAATAAAATGCTTACTTAAAGCAAATATTTAAATAATTAACATAAAATAAATATGTAGAACATTGTAGTGAAGTGTTAGTGTAATATAAAACAAAGTGCATAATATAAAACAAAAGTTAACCATAAATCGAGAAATTTTAAAATAAAATTTGTGAAATTTTCAACATAAAATGCAAATATCTCGAAAACTATAAGTTTCCGGCGGCAATAATTATATATATTCGTGATCTGGAGAACCTCCTCTATCCAATCATACCCCTCTTAACCCTGAAATCGTGGGATGCTAAACTAAAGTTTTCCCTAAGAGGTGAGAGGTAGTCAGAATTAAAAAAAAAAACAGATTTTGGTTTTTTTTAAGGTATAATATCTTAGAAATATTCTCTGATTTGAAGTAAATCCGACAAATACTTTTCGAGTTTTTCGATAATTAGCAAAGGGTTCTCGGGCGCTCTGGAACGTTCGTGTAAAAACTTTAAGCGCGGTTTTCTCAAGACTACGTATTTTGAACTAATGTCTACTGTAGCTCGAAAACTCGGTAGATTTCAATGTAATGAATACAACTTTTTTAAAACATATAACACTAATGCGTGATTGAAGGATTTTTCTTTTCAACTTAAATTTTTTGTAAACAATGAACTGTTGTTTTTCCCCGAAAGTCTGAAAAAAAAACTGTCCTGATGACGCTATTTAATAATTTACAAAAATAAGCTTCGAAACGTAAAACTAACTTTTTGGTCGAATGATTTTATATGAATCTCCAAAGATTAGTGATGGCGCCTACAAGAAGTTTCGGTTGGAACTGGATCAATACATACATAATTTTTAAAATTATAATTTTTGTTTTCAAAATTTTGCTCTACAGTCAAATTTTTAAAGGACATATTGTTAGAGAGATGAACTTATTTAACTGTGTGTGAACGCAGTCTAATAAGATGTGTGTGATCATGTTTGGTTACCGTATTTAAACATAAAAAAGATGACATTTTATAAATATTTACAAAATTCAACAGAACAAATGTAAAACTATAGCTATAATAATTCAATTTAAATTCTTAAATTTTTTTGCAGAGTAAGCTCTGTTTTTATAAGACTGGTCGCACTGGGTTCAAAGTACAAATTTCAAATATACTCGACGACACTGAAATTCGCATACTTCGTTTGGTTGATTTAAATTCAATTAAATTGGTTTGTTTAGATTTCTAAAAGCGCTTAGTCTACATATGTGGTAAATTTTTACAGTTACATAATATAATATTATCATTAAAAAGTAATAACTATTAAAAATCCTCAATTTCGTTTAGTTCACTTGAAACTGTTTACGCAATTTGCTCGGCGTAAAACTTAAGCTCTATGGCTTATGGGCAAAAACTTAAATGCTAAGTACCTACTTGGATATACAGGTAGCTTTACAATGTTATGTTGGCGGCTTTTAATTTCTCATAGTTTTGTTTTTTCTGCAAACGTGTCTTCGCATGTTGGAAAAATGGTTGTATTGTACGTTGAAAATTGTCGTTAGTACAAAAATCAAATTTTCGCTGATAGGCCTCTAAAGAAATAGAAATGAAATTGTGTGAGCAAATTTTACTCCGATATAATAAGTAGACTATATGCAAGCGGTAAGCACTAACCGTTCAATGCCTTCGTCACGCTCAACGTGCGTATAGCTGGCTTTTCTAGTGTGCCCGTCCAGCAAAAATGCTGCGCAACATGATCGCTCATTATGCGACGCCATGAGGTTTTCAGAAAATTAACAGAATTGTAAATATTTTGTGCGGTTAATTCAGTTATCTACAAATAAAAAATATATATTAAAAATATAAAATTATAGTTTTATAATAATAAATAGAACTTAAACTCACCAAATTGTGATATGCTTCTTCTGAGTTTTTAATCAACTCCTCAAACACTTTAAAATCTAACACAGATTGGAATGGTGTTTCAGGTAAGACTTTTTTATAGTTGGAATTTTGTCTGCATTGACTTTCTTTGGAAGTTCCGGTATTGCTTTGATCTTGAACAAAAATAATTTATTTAATTAAAAACAAAAAAAATTATTATATTAAACAAAAATTACAATAATAAAATAAAACAAGAAAAACGTTAACTTCCGTTGCATCGAAGCTATAATACCCATCCAAAATACAAAAGTTTTCATACAAGAACTTGATTTTCATCAGTCAGTTTGTATGATAGCCTAAGAGCCAGTGGACGGCAGACTGTATGTATTTTCCAGGTATAAAAACATCCGGAAGTTTGAAAATCTTTCTAAGAGGTATACATATTGAGGCTAAGGGAAGTATTGACCCTTTTTAAACCGTTTTGGACATACAGACAGGAAAATAATTTTTCCGAATTTCGATAATATATCTCACATATCGACCGACATTTTCGAAAAAAAAAAATCGCAATAGGAACTGTGGTCCACATATACCGAATATGAATATAAAATCTTTTTTTAGTCTGATTTTGACAAATTTTATACATAGGGTTGCACACCAGATGGAATTTAAAATTGTGTTATATGGGAAGTAGGCGTGGTTGTCGTCCGAATTCACCATTTTCAGCACTGGAACATAGTCATGCCAGGATAATGTTACTCATTTGGTTGAAATTTATCTATTAGTTCCTAGGGTATAGGTTTTCATCTATATATGGGCGGGGCGACGTCCATTGTCCAATTTTTATATTGGCTACTATAAAGCTTCATCCTCTCAGCTTATGTGTAAAACTTAAAGTCTCTGACGTGTTTAGTTAATGAGTTATCACATTTTTAGTAGTTTTAATCAAAACCGGTATATGGGGAGTGGGCTGGATTATCACCAGATTTCACCTAAAATTTGGGTGATAAAACTTAAATGGTTTGGGAGATATATGCATTAAACATATTAGGGGGCGGAGCCACGGCCATTTTTAAATGATTTTAAACCACAGAAACCCCTCCTTAATGTGATTTTCGGCTTAGTTATCTATCATACCATATTATGATGCCAAGGAACGAGTGTATCAAGTCTGATCAAGATATCTTAATTTTTACCCAAGTTACATCTTGCACAAACGGACGGACGGACAGTCAACCGCATTTCAACTCGTCTCGTCATCCTGATCATTTATATACATATATATAATCCTATATCAATCTCGATTAGTATTAGGCTATACAAACTACCGTTAGGTGAACAAAACTATAACACTCTGTAGCAACATATTCCAAGAAAATAAAAAATTATTACCAAAATATGGTATATTGAGTCGATCACTAAGGAACTTCGTTTGTTTTTTTAGTGCAATTTAAATACAATTTTTTTTATTGTGTAAAATATTTTATGAAATTATACATTATATTATCCATTTTGATCCAATACATTTTGCCATCTTTCGGGCAAGAGATTAATTCCAAGCTCATAAAATGTTTGATCCTTGCATGCAAAAAACTGGTCCAATTGGTTTTGACGTCCTGATTTGAGGTGAACGTTCTCCCATTCAAAAATTTTGCAAAAACCAGAAGAAGTAATAGTCCGAAAATTCCAAGTCTAGGGAATATGGTGGGTGTGGCAGCACATCCCCTTCAAGCTGCAATAGCTTTTAGCGAGTCATCAAACTTGTGTGAAGTCTCGCATCATCATGGTGGAGCACTATACTTTTTCTATTGACCAATTCTGACCTCTTCTGTTTGAGTGCATCACTCAATTCGTCCCGTGCCACAATACACTTCAGAATTAATCGTGATATGGTCGGGTAAAAGATCAACATAAACGAAAAAAGGCCTTCGAAGTGGTTTGAGCTGGGTCACCCTTTTTAGACCATGATCTCTTGAGCTTTACATTCTTGACAATCCACAATCAACTTTTCGTCGACAGTTTGCTAAGCAAATCTCCATGTCAAGCTTCGAAATTAATCCTAGAGGTTTCATATGCTTGTGAACGGTCGCGTTAGACAAATTTAATCAATCTCTCAAGTTGTTATTCGATGATTTGCATCAACCAACGAATTTATTTTATCCACATCGGCTTCAAGATGCCTTCCAGGACGTGGTGCATATTCAAAATCCAAATTGCCGGAACGAAATTATGCAAATCAATTATGGCATTGGTGTTCGATCAACACATCTCCATGCACATCACATAATTTTCGCCTTGCTTGACAGCATTTTTACTCATTTGATAAAAAATAAAACAGTAAAATATGGCGAAAATTCTGTTTTCGATCCTCTACCTTTGATAGGGCACCAAACAAATTTCAGCTGTTCAAATATATAACGGTAAAGCAGTTAAGTGTGAAATTAGCAGCGAAAAAATTCAATATGATCAGCTGTTGTCAGCAAACGAAATTACTTAGTGAACGACCCAATAATAAAAAATAAAAATTAAATAAATATACCTAGAAAAAAATAGAATTTTAAAATACCTTTGTGAAATGTATTTTGCGCTTGCTTTATAATGGTTTTGAGTTCAGCAATATCTGAAAAATGCAAAAGAAATAAACTTTATAGTAAAATATATATACAAATAGATTTGTTTAATTCAATTATATAGACGTTGCAGTTACCTCTTTTGGCCTCATTAAGTTTCGTAAGGGGATTAGAAACGGTTTCAGAGAGCCCCTAGATGAAAATAAACGATATAAAACACATTAAAAATTATAAACTCTTTTATTGAGCTATGTAGTATGTCTATTAATTGTTATAAATTTCTTAAAATTATAAATATAATTATGTTTAGACAGAGATTATTTGCAACTTTTTCTAAAAATAATTATATTTATAAAAAATAGTTGAATTAACATTTGATAAAATTTTTTTTTATTTTGAAATTCCAAAATTCTTAATTACAAATATTTTAAAGTTTTAATCCCGAATACCAAAACTCAAACCAAAAGTCAAACCAAAACTCAAAATATAAACAATAATTTTTAATTTTCTTAATTTTTAAATTCAAATACCGGATTAAAAAAAGTTTAATTAATTATAACTAAAAATTAAAATTGTCATATTTGCGTACTTTGTGCTGTCAGCACAGGTGTCGCGGCAGAATTCTGCCGAGTTGACCGTCCTTGGCCGGAATAAATCCGGGTCCGTTCCGGTTACGTAGACCCGACTGTCGTGGGAACGGCTTTGTGTTCTACAATTGTGGTTATCTTTTGAAAAGAAAAACATATTTCTCATAAAATAACAACACAGTTTTTTTCTTTTTGTCTTATTTATATTGTGGCGAACACGAATACCAAAACAAATCAGAATCGACGATAAACTGTCAGAAGCAACTAGACAGCGAATTCATAGTTGCCAGAATGTTCTAATAGCGAACTTTTGTTAAAAATTTACTATATAAGGGCTGCCGGAATGTGCAGCAGGGACAATTCTAATTAGAGTGTTGACGTGTAAAAAGCAATTAAGCTGTAAGCAATAAGTTGTAAACTCGAATATCGAGCAATAAGTGTTAAGTTGTTGGAATAAAGATAAGTGTATAGCCATTAAATTGGGACTTTAATTTAACAATCCAGTGATCGAACTCAAGAGCAGGGATAATGGGATGCCCAACTCTTTCCAGTGTGAGAGCGCCTCAAAATTTGCTTTTTTTATAACATTTTCCATTGTAGCCAGGTCGGACGAAATAATAATTTTTGGGAATTTAAATTAAAATACCCATCATTTATTAAGATTAAATATTATTATACATGTTTCCGTTAAACATATGCAAAAACTTTTTATACGCTTTTTTTGTGACTTTGGAAAATTAAAACAACTGATTTTTGAACTTTCAATACTTCAAGAGTAAAAAAATGTATTAATTCTTAATTTTTAAATGTTTTTTATCATTTTCAATTGACAATTAATACTACGAAGCATAGCACCACAAAAGATTTCAACATATACATTTCAATTTTGCGTTTTCTTTCATTTTTATTGTTATCCAATTTTTGTTATTGATCTTCAACAGCAGCTCAAATCTCTCTGTTTACATATTTTTCTGTAGGATTTTAATCTGGCCGTCCCTCTTTTTCCAATTGGTAAACGTCAGACCTACTGAACTTTGACAGTTGCTTGAGTTCAGTAGGTTTTGACGTTTATCAATTGCGCTCTCATTTCCAGTGAGAGACGAGTTGGGCTTCTCTATACCTCTGCTCAAGAGTGAGTTACAGGTAGACGATTTATCGAGAAATCCGTTACTATATTTAATTATAAAGCTCTGACGTATTTTTAAGTAAATAAAAGTTATTATACTTCACATTCCTTGGCCGGATAAATCCGGGTCCGTACCGGTTGTCTTGGGAACGGCTTTGTGTTCTACAATTGTATTTATATTTAATTATAAAGCTCTGACGTATTTTTAAGTAAATAAAAGTGATTATACTTGTTACCAAAAACACATATTTTTATTACATATGATTCACAACCGAATTGTTGTATGCTGAAAAAACTAATTAATGACAAGAATTTTTATTTAGCCCATAATTGCTGAGCACAACAGCTATTTATCAACTAAATTTGTATTAACGCCGCATTATATTGCAGTTGGAAAATAAAACTGTGATTGGAAAATTGCTCTGATTTGTATCCGCCAAAAATTGTATTATTTGTTTATCTTCAAAATATTAAAGTGCTAAAATTGATGCATACTTTTGCGTTCGAGTAGACATTTCAAAGCTGGCAACTAATAATTTACATGCAATGTTTGATAGCAGCTTAAGAAAAATAAAATACAGAATCCTTTCTTACATGCGCTGCTGCATTGCTTGCTAAATCGTGCTTAACAGGACCCAATTCTTCTTTTTTGACTATAGATAGGCATACATTGTGTTTGGAGGCTTTTCTAACCAATGCTATTAGTTCGTGCTGATGCGTGAGTACTTTGTCAATTTTAGCAGTTAGCTCTGGTTTGTAAAAAAAAAAAAAAGCTTACAATAAGTGGAACCACAAACAAACGAATTTAGTGTCTACCATCCATATGAAGTAAAAGTTGTTCTTGTTGATTTTCCAATTCAAGCTCAGCACTATTATTTAAATCTTGTGAAATATCCATTAAAAAGGTGCGCTAAGTTATTTTTTTAACTTGCTTGCGAAATTAATTTGTATAACTTGCTGGCACTACTCTGTTATCGTTTGGCAAACTAAAACTTTTTACAAAGAATATAAATGGGTTTATTTTTCTGCTGTAAAATAGTGAAAAATTAGTCTTAAATTAGGAGATTATCACATGTAGGCACATGTGAAATTACCTTCGCAATAATTTTATCGAAGTGTGATTGTGTTTATTGTGATTTAATTTCAAAAATTTACCCAAAAGCAAAACGTAATTAAATATTTTTGACATATGATGAAAACAAAAAGATAATAATTTAAGTCATATCACCGAACTATTTTGAATATTTTTATTAGTTATGCGCGCACTATTCGATAACCGATTAACCGGAATAACGGCAATGTGGTAACTGCTTTGAAATTGAAGCACTTAAGGGGCATATCGACAGGCAATAAATGATTTCTGAAAATTTGTATTTCTAGCAATATTGCCAATGGAGACTGACATATTGCTTATGTTGAGCAATAGTTGTTTAAAAATACATCTTGAAATCCTTTGGTGGCAATAAACCCATAAACTGTATTTTTTGGCAGTTTGACAGTTCTGTTTCCATTTTTACAGAAAACTTATGTACAAAGTTGAAAAGCTAGTACCCGGTGTTCAATATTTTGTTGTGTCAACTGCAATTTAGCAAAGTAATATTCTAAACAATAATTTTAACAAAGAGAAAATAATAATTAAATATCTAAGTACATATGTGTATTATATGTTTCGTTAGTATTTTAATGATAATTGTAAGCATATGTAAATATCTATGGATCCCGTTCCCACGACAGTCGGGTCTACGTACCCGGAACGGACGCGGTTCAGCCAAGAACTGTCAACTCGGCACCATTCCTCGAAATTACTTCAGGAATGGTTTCTACCGCTACAACAACAACAACAATCTATAGGCATATTTAATTTCTAATTTGGTAAATGTGAATGAGCACGTAGGCTACAAGCAACTGTAACGGTTTGTTGGGGAGTCTCCTACAAAGGCGTTACTTCTACTCTTATGTGAAAAACGAATCAAAACTACCAGCAGGATGTTGGAGAGCATTGGATCTTCCAGCAAGAACCACCATATTCCTCGTTTCATAGCTGTAGATGATAGACCGTTTGAAAGTTCAGCTTTGAATCCATTGGACTACAGTTTGAAGTCATAGTGAGAGAACATGGCCATTCGAATACTCCTTGGGCGAATTTGGAGTCTCGAAAAATCCTTGGTTCGAGCAGGTATTGGTAACTCCATAAGAAAATTTGGATCAATGGCCGAATCGTTTAATGGTTTGTTTGAATGTATTATAGTTTCGCATTTAGAACTTGTAACAAAGCTCATGGCAGAACTAAGAATACAACCTATAGAAATATTTAAGTATTTTACTTACATGTGACGTGCGCCAATCTTCTAATAATCCACGAAGTCGTATACGCGCACCAATATCACGACCACATATATCTCTAACGTCTACCTCTTCTATATACTGCAAGTAGTCTAAGCCAATATTCATTTCCTTCAATTTAGCCAGGTAGTGCTGCAGTTTATGCTTGTTTAGAAGTTTTAAAAAATCATGCTCATCCGTTGAAACTATTACAAAAAGCGTAAAATAACTTTCTGAGAAATAAATTTATGGTATTTCTAAATACCTTCCGTTTGATCATCTGTTGTTGCGTCTAAATGAATGGACTCCTCACTAGTTAGATTACAATCATTGCCTTCATTATCATCATCACCACCAATATTTGAACTAATATTAGCCTCAACTAATTTCATAGGATCGAGTAAACTGCTATGGGCGCCAATTGAAGTATCGGGCATGTCATTCTTTAAAGCCAGTTCCCATTGTTGTTGCTCATCAACCGGCGGTATTGCTTTGACTTTTTTACACATACCACCTAGTACGTCACTGCTTGCATCTGTTCTTTTTCGTTTTTCGACTAGGCTGTTGGATGCGCGGTCATCATTGGAGTTAATTTCATAGTCATTTCCAATGTCAATAATGTCAAGTGTAGGTTCGACTTTAATGTTTGTAGATAATGTGGCGATGTTGATTGAGTTCTGAACTTCATCGGCACTTTGTTCGTTAGTACTATTTTGCACTCTTAAATGAAGTTGGGGCTTTATTTGAAAATTATCTTCAGGTATAGCGCTGATGCAACTTTTTGAATCATCTCTAGCTAGAAAATTCTGAAATAAACAAGAATAAACATTAAATTCGGCTGCATCGAAGCTATAATACCCTTTACAGGTGTATTTTTATAGTATAAAAGGTTATTATCTTCATTTCGGGCGAACAGTTATATGCAGCTATATGCTATAGTGGTCCGATCTGAAAAATTTGTTCGTAGAATGTAGCGTTAACTTGTGTAATAATCCGTGCAAAGTTTTGTTATGATACATTTTCAAATACAAAACTTTTCCATACAAGAACTTTAGTTTGATTGTTCAGTTTGTATGACAGCTATATGCTATAGTGGTCCGATATCGACGGTTCCGACAAATGAGCAGTTTCTTGGGGGGAGAAAATTACGTGTGCAAAATGTAAGATCACTATCACGAAATCTGTAGGACTAGTTACTTTTAGCGAAAGTTTCCGTTCCTAACAATTATTATTTTTTAATTCTACTAGCTTTTCGAAAGTATTTCTAGCAACAATATGTGCTGTTCAACAATGAGTAATGCTTTATTTAAACATTTTTCTTTTTACAATTAATTAATTTTTACGTGAATAACAGTACATAAATTGTCTGGTAATTTAATGCATTGAGTATTTGGTAGTTCTATGGCAGTTCTATGCTACCGTTCGCCATATATGTAAGTTATATTTTTATTATCTTTAGACTTTTATTGTTCCTTTATTCGGTAGCGACGGTGTTGTCGACTACCACGAACTATTTAAATAATATTTCCGATTATGCGATAGCGACGGTGTTGTCGACTACCACGGAATTATGTTATTTTAAATAAGCACAAGTTGAGTTCCGTTTTATTAAAATTTCATTTCTCTTATTTATAACCTACTATTACTATCGCCGCTACTGCCATTGACGCTGCTTTCCTAAATTTCTGCTGACGCCTAAGCTTGTGTAAGGCATTGCGTTACATCCGCCGGTCACACGGCCGGTGGCTACTGCAAGGTGTTGAATTGCGGCTGTCGTTCATTCAGAAATTCAGACTGCATAGGTTGCAATTTTGGCAGTCCAAGAGACTAACTTAGTTAACTATTGTTAACTTGTACATATGTATATAAAAATTGTGCGGAAAATATTTGTGCAGATAGATCATTTTCTTTTTGTACGCGCATGCTTATAGCCAGTCGAAGTTTTTCAACACTTCGCCATAAGAATGTATAAAACATATGTACATATGTATGTACATTTATCTTATCGTTGAAAGTAGCGCGAGGAATAACCGATAGTCTGTCGCATTGTTTCTACCTTCTGATAATCTTTTCTAAGATGCTTGTACTCCGCTGATTGTTCAGGTCTGATTATTTTTTCGGCATTTGACACAAAATTTGCTTACGTTGTGGTATTTAAAATATTTATTTTCATTTATTTACTGTTTTTTTTAGTAATTGCGATATAAGCCATCCTATCGTTCAAGTTGAATCAAACTGAACACAGTGTGCTAATTTTTTACTAAAATCCGTTCAGTAATTTCGAAGTTTATTTCGGACAAACAACGTGCCATTTATTTTTACCTTTATAGATATCGGAGCAAACTGTGTCAGAAGCATTTTCATAATGCGAACACGATTATTTACAAAAGCTTTCAAACTGTTGGTTTACGATATATATATATATATATATATATTGTTGTTGTAGAGGCAGAATTCTACGATACATCATAGTTATCGACTATATCATTACTTTGATTATAAGTTATAATAAAAATAACGAAATTTCTAAACTGAAGAGCACTTAATTTGAAAAAATTAAAATAGTTCACGAATTCAATGGTACATTTTGTATCATGCAATTTCTCAAGCTAAAAGCTGACAACACTATATACAAGTGTGTGTTGGAATTGGTTTGGTGATAAAATTAATCTGACTTAATTACCTTTAACTTAATTTTCATAAGTTTAGTTTTTAGTCTGGCTTCCTTTAGTTCCAATTTTTGCTTTTCTACAACTAATTTGTGTTTTTCAAACTCCCATCTGTGTTTTTCAGCTTCTCGCTTGTTTCTATTACAATCCCAACGATGTTTTTCAGCAGACCGCGAATCCTCCTTTACATTAAAACATTTTTTTCGATTAGATCTTTGAAAAGACGATTTGAGTTTTGTACTCTGTGCAAAGGGGTTTGAATTTGATGATAAACACTTTGTTTCGCCTTCCTAAAATATTAATATTTTCTTACTTAGAACCGAACATAGGTATTTATAAATATTAGTTGATTCAAATGTGAAATCACTCACCTTTTCAACGGGCTCTGAATCTTGAATGGGACCATCTAAACTGCAGCTTTGTGCTGTTTCATCAAAATCATTATTCATTTCAGGGTTAATTTCAAATACATCTGTTAGCAAAACAAATAAAATTTATTATGTATGCCATTTTAATTTGATCACTATTTATAGTTTAAATTTAGATTAAATTAACTCACCATCCTTTTCGACATCATATGAGCTACAGTCTGGTGAAAATCCTACTATAGCTGAAAGTTTTTCGATATTTTCATCAAACAATATCTTTTGAAATGTTTGTGCATCATCGTTTCTTTCTTTGCTTTCTATTCGTCTTAATTTACGCTTCAAATTATCATATTTTTCTCGTAGATTTTTGCATCCTCTCCTAAAGCCGAACTTATTACCGAATTCAATATCAATATTTTCCCATGCTTTTCGTTTCTCCTCCCAAATCTGCCCATCAGTTAGCTTACTTTCAATTACATTAACGTGTTTATGTGCCAATGATAGTAAAAAGCTTTCTTCAGCAGGCGTAAAATTAGGTAGCCGGTTTCGTTTTTGCTTATGGGTCATCTCCTTCACTTGTGTTTGATGAAGCAGTTCATTTAACATATGTATATTGGTTTTTAAGTATTATCTTCAAATACTTTGTTGCCATGTTACGTTATTCTTAGTTTTCCGTTATAAGCCATTCCTTTATGACTTGGTTCAAAAATCCTTGCTTGGTTCACTAAATAGATGAGGCGCAAAAATAATGCGTGTGGTCGAAATTCGCTGTGCAATGCCGCTTATGGGCAACTGCTGTGTATGCGTTAGATAAAGTGCTCATTTCGCCAGTTAATAACAAACCATAAATTGGTAATATTATCAAATTAAGCCTTTATTCACTTATAAACTAATAATCCTTCTATTATTTAAAAATTTCGTGAGCGCAAATTATCAGCAAATCACAAATTTACCTCAAGTAGTAACAGACAGTTTTATCTATGCTGACAGTTACGCTGTTTCTAACTGACAGTGTTGCCAGATATCATTATGTTAGCTGCAATAAGTCTTGCGCCGATAAATGTTAAGTTTAAAGGAGAATTTACAGTATTTCATTTTAAATTTACATATTTAACATTTAAAAAATTATGATTAAGAATATATAATTTATGGCCAGGAAAAATTAAGTTATATATTTTTGCCAGTTCTTTTCGCGCTTTGTTTACGGTAATACAGCCAAAACTTCATAGTTACAGCGATAAATAATTGAACACGTGAATAAAAATGTATCGATAAAGAATAAAAACCAGAATGTACGATAATACAAAACTTCAAAGACTAGGCAGCACTAGTACGTAAACAAACGCGAAAATTGGAAAAAGATTTCGAATGACATTACAGCTGTCAGAATTGTTGATGCATACACTTTTTTATAACACATAATTTTTACAAAAGTACAATTTTTCATAGGAAACTTTTATAAATATAATTATTAGCAACTTTAAAGTGAAATAAATTTAATATGAGTACTAGCGGTGATTCGCAACCTTATTTAAATGATTTTATGATGCGGGACGATGAGGATGGTGTGTCGGGCGGTAAGTTTATAGTATTTGCGCACAACTGACAAAGAAAACAGAAAATTATAATTTGCATCACAATTATATTTAGATGATGAATCGGATAACAAGCATAGTGGCGGAAATTATATGCTACGTGAACAGGATCGCTTCCTACCCATTTGCAATATTATAAAAATTATGAAGGTGCCGGTACCGGAGAATGGTAAAATCGCCAAAGACGCACGCGAATGCATACAAGAATGTGTTTCAGAATTTATATCCTTTATCACTTCGGAAGCCATAGAGCGTAGTATAGCAGAAAACAGAAAAACCGTGAATGGTGATGATTTATTGTATGCGTTTGCCAATCTTGGTTTCGACAACTACGTTGAGCCATTATCTATGTACCTACACAAATTTCGTGAGGTAAGTGACCTGTATGACATGCGAGTATACGATATAAATAATTATTTAGTTTACTGTCTAGTCAACCAAATCGGATCGTAATTTATATAGTGAGACAAATATGCTGCAAGATGATTCTTCAACTGAATTTCGTAAGACAGATCTGTCGTAAAATTAGCGCTTACCCAATATATATATAAATATATTTATTTAAATTGTTGAATTGGATTAATAAAAAATAACATTTTATTGTTAAAGGCAACACTATACAAGTTTACACAGTGAAAAAATGACACGCATGTACACACAATCAGCTACAGCACCCTTACCTAGCAAGTTATGGCAAAATTGAATCAAAAATGCACTATTCCATCACCAATAACCATTTACACTTATTGAGTTTCTAAATTGATATTTTTTATTAAGACAAAGTTATATTTAATTAATTCAAGTGAGTGTATATAAGTTGCGATATTTATGTGAATGCTATGTTCTATATTAGTAAGTTAAAAGTACAAAACAAACAAAAAATTTCTACAGCAACAAATGCGGACAACAGTAATGCAAGTATCATAACAACAAAAGCAATGACAACACATAGTGGTGCATTAACAATAACAACAAATGCTGTCAACCACACTACTGCATCTATAGCCAGCACCATTAACACCTATTCGGATGTGAAACTATTTGAAATAATCGAAGCAAATCAGCACCAACAGCAAACACAACAACAACAGCAGCAGCGTCAACAAAATGGTATTCATAGCATCACTATAACACCAACAACCACAACCACATCAGCTGTACCACTTAATATATTAAGTACCGGTTGCAATCAAACAAGTAACATTACTCCAGTAGCTACATCCAATGCACTGAACACAACAACTTTAGGCTCTGTACGCCGGTCAGCGCGGCTACAAACTCGTCCCACCCAATTACCGATAGTCACAACAGTGGCGAACGAGACGCCTGGCGCTATAATGAATGCGGATCAAATGATATTCTTTGATGCTGACGAATTGCATCAACATGTTTTGCAGCAACAACAACAGCAGCAACATATTAATGGCAATAATAATTTTATGCATATGTAAAGCATAATTAAGCATTGCTATTGTCGAATTAACGAATTTATTGTCTTCATTCTGTTTTAAGCGTGTTAGTGGTAGAAGCTAGAACGATAAACTAAAGTGAAAAGGCTACAATAGCGATGGTTTCATTTGTAACAAATATTTTCGTTACACTCGAAAATAATGGAGACATAATTTTTTAAAGTGTTGTATATTTTTTTTTACTAGAATTTCTCTTCAAGAAGAGATGAGTTGAACGTTAATCATAATTTCCATAGTTTTGTTATTTATGCTTTTCTAAAGTGTGTTTAGCTTATGGTTGAGACAAATTGTGTGTTGTCAAACAATTAAAAAATATTTTGTACGCAGCGATTTTTTATAAAATGAAAATTATAACTTTAGTTGTATTCATAATAAATAATAAATATATAAATGGAAATTTTTTGTTTTTTACGAATTTACATAAAAATGTCAAAGTATTCCAAAGCGCCGCTTTTTCTATGGAATTCAACTTTGATAAATACAAGGATAGATATAAACAAGAGAAGACGTTCTTCGATCTGAAAAATTTATTCAGATAATGTACTTTTGCCTCGATCTCGTCACACAAAATAGTATTCCAAACAAGGAATTCATTTTGAGCCTTGCATAATAATCTATGCCAAATTTCGTGAAGCCATCTCCTCAAACGAAAAAAGTTTTCTAAACAAGCTTGATTTCACGTCACGTTGGTCATTTATATGCAAATGTATGTTATAGGGTCTCCGAAGTTTTCTTCTGGGTGCCACAAACTTCTTGGCAAATTTTAAGTGCCCTGTTCAATATTAAATAAATAAATTATTCACCATATTTGTTCCAACACAACTAAAGTGATTAAATTATTCACCACACCAAACAGCGTATATTTAGGCTGTCTATATTCTCTTATTTAACTCACTACTCTTATATATGCCGTAACTTATTGTACACTTATCTGCTATATCTGAATTTTAACTCGTGAGCGCATTATAAAAAAATTCACCATAATTATATTTTCTATAACAAACCCACCATACCAAAGCAGCATTCCAAGAAACTATTTGTATATCGTACATAATTTAACAACATTTTAAGCATTAAAACAAATAAATTGGACAGCTACTAACTTTTAAAACCAACTTTCTCCCATAACACCGAAATGAAATACCAAATTTACCTGCGTTAATACGATAACTGCTCTATACAACGGAAATGAACGCGGATTACGGATCACACAAATATATTGGGTAACTATGCTATAGATAGATAGATAGATAGATACTATGCTATAGCAACAACAACAAATCAAACTTCCCATTTCAAATATTTTAACTTAAAAACATGTTATTTCAAAAAAATATTTATTATCCTCTGAATACACTTATCTCTAAAGTAAGTATATGTATGTGTGTAAATCTATAAAAAAAAAAAACGCACGCAACTACAGGCTAGCTATGTTATACAAGTAGTGTGAGTTATTGTTACACAATACAATAAACAATGTGGATACTTAAGAACTACAGTTTTTAGCAAGACAACGCTAAATTTTTAGCATATCAAGTAACAGTATACAATTGGCTTCGCAATACATAATTTTCATATACAATTTCAGCATAGTATATACACAATCGAATTCGTTCTCTACGAATCATATAACAATTTAAATTAAAAGATAAATAAATGTTTGTTATTTATTTTGAATTTCCGATAAAACCTCTGGTGGAACAGCAACAGTACCAGCATTCATGTTATCATCACCTTCAGCACCATCATCATCTGGGTCCGCCGGTTGTGGTTCGAATACGACGCGTCCACGTATCACACGTACGCGTGGACCAATCGCACGCGTATTTAATTCAAACTGACCACAAGTTTCCGGACGTGTGGAACGATGCATGCTTAGACCGCTGATACAGGAGAATTGTTTGTTACAGCCGTAACATTTGTAACGTTTCATGCCAATGTGGCGCGACAAATGTGAAATGAGTGTTTCGCGATGGGTGAAACTTTGTGAGCAAATCTATAAAAGGAGCAATGTTAAATAAATAATTACAAATATATCTACTATGTATGTAATCACATATATTAGGGTGTCTGTTAATTTACCAAGTTTTTTTTTTTATTTGTTTGCAAAAAAATTATCCAACAAACTACATTTTTAATTCAAAACGATCATTTTACTTTTCCCATCCCATAGGGATTTTTTGATCTTTTGCAATAAATTTTTTATCTCCAAAGCAAATGAATCTATAAATTAAAAAGTTTTATGCTGTTTAAAAATTCTCCGCCCTACAAAAAAGTTTTGATGATTTTTTTTATAAAAACATTAATTTCAAAACTATATGTAGTTAAAGTTATGCGTCAATGGTACACCATGTCGTATGAGCAACACACCCATCTAACACCCTTTTCCCGATGGTCCGCCCGTCAAAACAGCTCGTTTCTTGGACCTCCCGTTAGATGACCTCGACGACAACCAAACTGTAACTTATCACCCAAACGGGGACTAGGTAACCGTTACAACAACAACAGCAGTAACACAGAAAGTATGAATTATTTGTATGAATAACTATATAATAAATAACTATAACTTTTAAATTAATGCTTTTATGATTAAAAAAAAACACTGAAACTTCAGGTGGCGTTTCCAAAAATAAAACCATCAACTTGAAAAAAGGACACCGTAATGTATACGCTACTAACCTCGCAAACAAAAGGACGTTCGCCGGTATGCGTACGATGATGTACTGTTACTTGACCGCGTGTTCGAAAACGTTTATCACAGTAGTTGCACTTATGGGGCAAAACGCCGGTATGTATGGTGCGATGACAATTCAGTGTGCTGGTCGAGAAGAAAAATTTATGACAGACATCACATTCGTGTTGTGGATTCCGACCACAACTATTACGCAAATGTTCCCTGATCATAGCGCGCGTTGAATAGCGGCGGCTACATTTCGGACAAATATAACCTTCAGGATTCATTTTGGGTTTGCTTCGACATCGATTGCGGGTTAAGTGTGGCGAACGTGGTCGCGGCGGCAATTCTGTAAATAAGTAATTATTATTTAGGTAAAGAAAGCACAAACATTTTTTCCAACTTTTTTATACTCTGAACGAAGTTTGTAATACCCAGAATATTTTAGATATCAATCTGAAATTTCCACAAGTCTTTTTTCCCCAAGGAACTGTTTATTTTTCGGAACCGTCGATATATTTGACAAGATATCTTCACGAAATTTGGCAATAAATATTGTCCAAGGCAACGATACAATCTGCGAAGAAATTGTTCAGATCGGGCCACTACAGCATGTAGCTGCTGTACAAACGTACGATCGAAATTAAGTTTTTGTATGGAAATGTTTTTTATTTGAGAAGACATCTTCATGAAACTTTGGTCGGATTATTGTTTAGGACAACGGTACAAATTTCGAACAAATTTTTCAGGTCGAATCACTACAGCATATAACTGCCATACAACTGATCGATTAAAACCCAGCCCATATATGGAAACCTTTTTGATATGGCAATATATCTTCACGAAATTTAGCATGTATATTGGCCAAACCAACCGTATAATTTCTGAAAAAATTGTTCAGATCGGACCACTGTAGCATATAGCTGCCATACAAACTTATGAAAAATTTTTATTTATGACGGGTATTATCGCTTCAGCTCAACCGAACGATTTTTCCATGTTTACTTTTCCTACATACCTCCATCTTCTCGGTAAATCCGTAAGGATATTGCATTGCTGCTACTGTCACTAGTGGTGGCCGAGAATGCATCATCGTATTGTAGCGTTACTATATCCTCATCTAATTCAGTTTTAATATTCTCCGTTTTTATATCAATATTGTGTGCTATCATTTCGGCATTTTGCTCGTTCTTATGCACTATCACATCATTCAGTAGTTCCGTTAAACTTATTTCTGTATTTGTTTTTGTCAACGATTCTAGCTTGGCAGCAGCAACCACTTTATTCAGCGGTGGCACTTCAACTTGTTGAACCGCAAATTGCCGATTGTTGCTGACATCCTTTTGCCAATTAAGTGGCGTTTCTGGCATTGGCACGCGTTTTTCAGTTTTGGCGAGCAATGATACCTGCGGCGTAGTAGCCTTGGGCGCTGTGTGTTTTGTGCTTGCCTGCGGTAAGGGTTTGTTAATGCCCAACTTAATCAAATTCGGTTGTGTATCTTTGGGTAACATCTTTACAATCTTGAAATTCGATGATAGTTTTAACATTTTTGGCGTTTGCTCACTTTTCGGTGAAACCTTTGCGGTTTGCGTTGGGTTCGTATTGCTTTGTTGTAATGCCACCGATGATTTAAGTAGCGATTGTGATGAAGTAGTGGGTGGAGATTTTTCAATTTTGTCTTCGCTTGCCTTATTTGCTAAGTTAAAGTACTTTGGCACACTTTTTAGGGAGAATTTTGAGGTAATGCGTTGTGCCAGCAGATGACTTAAGGGATTTGTTCTAAATTCTTGAGTCGGTATAGATGCCACATTTTCACTTTCAGTTGGAGTTAGAAATTGCTTACGTATGCGTAATTTGAGTGACGGCACAGCTTGTTCTTCTGTTGTTTCGGAACTTTTATTGATTTCAGCGTTATCCGTAGATTCTCTTTTAACTTTAACTGAAAAATCAGGTAGAATCATTTCATAATCGATAGGTTCTGGCTTAATCTGAAGTGTATTGTCTTGTTTTGGGACAAATTGCTGTTCCGCACTTTTGAATAATGTTGGCTTTAATCTCAATTTCAAACCGGCAGGTGCGTAAGTGGTAGCTGTTGATATAGAAAAATATTTTTTTAAGAAATGCTCATATGCATCATAAATGGGTATAATTACTTACCACTTTTAATTTTATATGAGTTTGTAGTAAGTACTTCTTGTATGCTTTTCGTTAGCTTTGGTGTGTTATTGAGAATGCTTAACATATGACCACATCTATCGGGCAAAGATTGCCAATGTTCGTGTAGCTCGTCCGTACTTATGAACCAGTCACGGCAGATAGAACAAACAAAACGTTTCAATTTGCCATGCATGGTTTCTTTGTGTTGACACAATTGTTCGAAATTTTGGAATTTATGATTGCAAACCTGTAGAAAAGATTGTATTGAAATGATTTTTAATTTAAATGTTTTTTTTATTTTAATTTAGTATATAATCACCCACATTGCATTTTAAATGTTTTATATCATGTACTATATGTTCGTGATTCTCACACTGTTCTAGTGAAGTAAACCAGTTGTCACATGACTTTCTAGTACAATACAAACGGTTCCTTCTATGCTGTTCCATGTGTTGTCTATAATGGATTTCTTGCAAACAACGTTTTAAACATATTTTGCACATAAATTTTTTAGTTCTGCGATTACACGTGGGACCATTCTGTGGGGAGAAGTTAGCAGAAGTGTTAGATTTTAATTGCGATATGTGTATAGATAACAAACTGCATCAAATTTGAACAACGTTAAATAAATTTGTTCAACTTACATTTTGTTTAAATTTCTGCATGTAGGCCAACTCTGTGTTATTTGTTGATAAATCAGTTGCCGTTATAGTAATGATATTTTCATGCTCGTCTACTACATGAAAATCGTTTGTTAGTTGGTTTAACTGATCCTCTTGCGTGGGCGTAACATTCTCCGAGTATGTTAGGTTTTCAGACATGTTGAATTCTTCAGCAATATATAGGTAATCATCTATAGGTTCTTCTACAAAAGATATATAAAATCTTTTAATTAAATTTATATCATTTTTAATATAAACACACACAATTGGTGTAATATAAATTCGTTCATCAATAACAAATTACGATACATGGCAACACAGTCGCAATTGAATGCGTGCAGTAAAATAAAACTGACAAAATAATTAGCGAGTGAATATCGGCAGCAATTTGAGTTTGTATTAGCAATTGCTTTGGTTTTGAATAATAATTGAAAAACAAAACGACGATTACAAAAACTTACCCTTCACTTGCACATTTTGTGCCATGCTTACTAAACTGATTGAATTCTGTTGGTTAATAATATCATCGGCTTCTGTTGTTTCCGTATTTGTATAATCGTATAAGTCTGGTTCAACTTTAATTGTAACATTAGCACTAAAATTGCCCGTATTAACAGCTTTTGTAAGACTATACGCCCTTTTGTCGCCAACATCAAAAGAATCATTACTTCTGCTGCTGCTGCTGCTGTGATTAGTGGCGTCACCTTCAATATCGGCCATTTCCGCAGCGTAGATTATCTCTAGCGGTTCTTGTTTTATTTGCACCATCTCTTCAGCCATTACCGTTAATCTCGAGTACTATTTTCAATGTGATGACAAACACTTTAATGCACTTGCAAAGTAAAATGCTCAAATACGCATTACAAAATCCGAATTACTGATTTATTATATTACAAAATTTTACGGTGAAGCTTTCATCTGCACACAATTTTAAACCGCGAGAATGTGTGAATTCTATGGGCGATCAACCATACGTCAAAAACAAATGTCAGAGAAGTGCAAAGAGAAGTATGGGAATTTGTGAGTAGGTAAATTTTATGCGTTTCTTGAAGCATAGTGCTGCCATGTAGCGTGAAATGTATAAATTAAAGAAGGTATGGTCCAGTATATTTTTCATCGAGAGTTCATTAGAGAAAATAAACCTTTTGAGAAAACAAAATTAAACATTTAAAATAAAATATTAAACGAAACAACAAAGAAATATGCCCCTAATTCAAGCCGTTACAAATATTGTTAATTTTAATACTCTTAACGCATGGGCAACTCCGTGTGACGCCTTCGCGAAGCGTCCGTTGTGGGAAATTTATCGATATTTGAGAGCCTTTTAAAATGTTCAGTTGGGAGCAAGTTGTTTTTTTTTTTATTTTATTTCACTTTCTTATAAAGATATTATTGCTCATAATTCTAGAAATGAGAAAAGCACGTGCTAATAATAGCAATTTTAACTGCCATTTATTTATAGATATTTATTTGTTAGTAACATATATTGGACAATTTTTTTTGTCATGTTAGCAAATGCAAAATTTTTGCAAGCTCAATGGCAAGATATTTGACAGTTAGTGGCCTGTGAAGATGCGGTATTAGTAATTGTGATTAATTTATAATTTACATAGGTAATTACAATAATTGCAATTTATTAAAACTAATTTTATACACTTGCATGAATTATCAGACCATATAATTATTAGTTTTTATATTCTTGTTAACAAATCCTTATCCTATAATCCTTCGAATTTCTTAAAGAATTCTGTGCACATTTACGTACTTTCCGAATTTGTCATTTCCAATTACTTGTTAACCGCTGATAGGTAAAATTTGGCATAGTTTTTATATATTTTATATTGAAACAAAACAAATATAGCATTAAATATATCTTTAGAAGGGTAAAGTCTAAATTATAATTTGTCAACAACGTTTTGTGGATACTGTGATTTTATAAGAAATATTTTATATTTACTGAAATGTTGATAAAAAAATAAAATAATAATTTGAATGCCAATTTTTTGTTGTTTTTGTTGCGGTTTTTTTATGACAACTTTTTGCATTAACTTTTCATTGATTTGCTTATTTGAAAAAATGTATAACTATGGTATATACGTTTACATTTTTAACTTAACTTCTACAAGCCTTTTCTTCTTCAACAAATAATTATGAAGAAATCTTCAGTCGAAAGACATCATATTTTGGTGAAAGTTTAAGGTGAAAAGCGGTGATTTTGGCTTGGAAGATGCACATCGTCCTGGGCGACCAAAAAAGTTGGAAGTTGAGGAACTGGAAGCACTACCCGAAGAAGATTGTTGCCATACACAAAAAGAGCTCACATAATCTTTGGATGTCCCTCAAGCATCAATTTCAAAATGTATCAAGAAAATTGGGTGCCATACGATTACAAACTAGGAAATAAATTTAATTTCAATAATGTATTTGGAAATCAGCGGCTGGCAAGATTTTTTTCTCCCGCAATATAACGCAGACCTTGCCCCTTCTGATTACCATTTGTTGTGAAAGATTGGAAAATGCTACAATATATAAATGCACACAAATATACTTTTAGACCCAATATATTGATTTTATTTTAATACTTATTATTTTGATTTGGTTAAAAACATTTACATTTATTTATTTATATAAAATTTTTGGATTTGGTTATGCCAAATCTGCCCCATTACCCTAATATCCCCCTAAGCGGATAAGCACATTTAAGCAGAATCTATTGCCTTACCGCAACTTACAAATATGCATCCGAGCTATCGCACAAATAGCAAGCATTGGAAAAAGGTTTCACGCCTGAAGCTAGCAGACCCCAACTGCAATACCCCCGCACAAATAGATATAATAGTAGGCAGCGACCTTATACCGCAAATAATGCTTGAAGGTGTTGAAAAAATTTCAACGACTCTTCTAGCCCAAAATACTATATTCGGTTGGATTCTAAGTGGACTAATTACTGAACCAGTTTCCACATCAACAACTCAAGTTGAAGAAAATTCAAAAGAATACCTTAATTGACAATTAAGGAAATTTGGGGAGTTAGAAAAATGCATTCTCATATCAATTACAACCCCAAAATATCAGTGTTGTGAAGACTTCCACAAAGCCACAACTACTCGATCAAATAATGTCCGGTACGTCATACGACTACCACTAAAGCCACAACTTTCCAACACACCAAAAATTGGCACAAAAGACCAAGTTAGAGCTTCTTCTGACAACCCCAGTGTTAAAAACACAAATATACAAGTATATAATTCATAAATATTCCATAAGAAAATTTGTTGTACTCTAATTTCCTTAAACTCGAAAATGGCAGTACAACAAAACTAAAGGGGATTCAATGGAATGCGATATCTGACCAGTTTTCATATCTCACTGAGCCAATATCCGCATTATCCGCAATAACAATTTTGACCCCGCAGGATGGCTTTCGCCAATTATGACTATCACAATCGCCCACTTCCATACATAATATCGTCCGCAATATACAAGTAATTGTCATAGAAAGTCCAAAAATCGACATCTTTCTTACTATAGTGCCTCATAGTTGCCTGAATTTTGATAATCAAATACAATTCAAAATTAAAGTTAAGGGATCACCGTACTTCCAATGTGATATAGTGACACACCCAGACTTACAAAAAGCAAAGGTCGCACTTATGGCATCTATCTCAGCGCTCATCATATGGGTAAGTTATGGGAAAAAGTGAGCCAAAATCACAAATTCCACTCTCGCAAGATCCCTCTTCAAAGGTTTCAAACCCATTCTGGCCATATCTGAGCCAGGCGTGGAGTCGCTAACCGTAATAAACCGATGGTAAATAAATTTTAAACAAACAATACAAGTAATAAAATTATAAAAGAAACAACCGCAAATACAATAAATACGAAAAGCAAATACAACTTCAAAACCCGCAAAATAAACTTACATATCTTTTGCACGCACAGCAAAGGACATACATAAATATGGATATAACTCTATCATAATGTATGCCGCTCCCTCGGCTACTCAACCAGCAGCAGGCCGAAATACATGCAATATAAGCATATACGCGTAATACCAGGCAAAATATTCGCCTAGGGGGCTCAGGATGTTTAAATGAGATAAGCTCTACTCGGGTAAAACTGGCATACCCTAATGAAACACACCACACTGCACTCAACATTGAGACACTACACATGATGACACCACTACACTCAATCCCTGAGTACAATATGAACGAAGATACCTAACAAAAAGGACGGGAACTTCGCTAAATCATCATTCGCTATATACAATTCGACAGCGCAATCATTTCGACTCGACACCACTCCACGCATCTTAAACGTTCGTTTTGTTTACGGGCCTGATCGCCAGATTAACTTCTCGATACGAAAGCGATCCTGCGCGAAACACCCAATCGATTCGTCAACTGTTTTTGGATCTACACATTTATTTTTGGACAACACCGATCCGATAATATATAAACTTAAATTTAAGGAATCTTATCAATATTTAATAATAAAATTCGGATAGTAATCTAAATTGCGCATTTTAATTACTTATAATTATACAAGTGATAGTATAGTATTAAACATTAAATTTGTTCATCATTTATTATAATCTGGTACCATTGACTATAGCAACGTTTTTAATTTTTTAGGAAAATTTACAAATTACATATAGCACTAGACTATGTGATAGATGGTAAATTATAACTAAAAACTTATATAAATATTAAGTACATTTTTAAAACTAAAAACTCAGTGAAGAATATTTAAAAAGAAAATCAAAAATTCTCTACTTTATTACATTTCTATCGATAGTTTTGATAAATAAATATTTAATTCAATGGACGTAATTTTTTAATATTTGTATATTATTGAACATTTCAGCACTTTATATAAAATAAAATATTATATAGAAAAATTAATATTGTATATATATTACTAATGCATATAAAAACTCTCAAATATTTATTCAACCAGGCACGAAGAAACGTTAGCAACAGTTTGAGTAGTACTGTAGGGTTAACTCTCATGATGATCAAAAATGCGAACGGAGGAATGACAACTGTCAGGCATTTTGTTTCCGTTTGCGCGAGTGGTTTGCACTGGACGGTGAAAAAAGGGACAAATTGACAATAAATAGCATAAGATATGGACGAAAGGTGTAAAACAAATAGTTGCGCATCCAATTTATAGAGTTTAAAACGTAGAAATAGTCGCTAGCACATTAAGCTGAAAAGACGCTAATGCAGATATAAGTGTTGTGTTTATTATTCAAATTCGATATTTCTGTTGAAATTTTTACAAATTATTTGCTTTTTTGAAAGTATATGGTAATATTATTATAAAAAAAATTTATATACATTTTTATTAAAGAAAATGCGATATTTTTTAAATCAGTGAGTAATAAATTAAATAATATCATGAAAATTGCGTGCAATATGTTCGTAAACATCAGAAGAAAATTGTGTAAATATTTAACGTGCAATTACAATATTTGAAAAAAAATGAATTAATTAAATTGTAAATATGTACATTACAAAGTTGTTAACTTGGAAAGTTAGCTGTTAAATGTATTTAGGATGTTAAATATTTAAATAAAATTAAGTTATAAAAAATACAAATTAAAATAAGCGAATATTGAGTGGAAAAAGTAAAGAGAAAGTAGGAATACAAAAAAACTAAATTAATATTGGAAATCAAAAAAAAAATTAATAATAATAGTTCTTAGTCTAAAATTTTATAAAATGTAATATAAAGAATTAAGCGATTAAAAATATAAAAGTTAATATAAAAATTTTAAAATTCAGTGATAACCAATTTTAATGAAATAAGTTACTTTAGAAATAAAATAATATAAAAAAATACTTGAAATTTTAGAAAAATTTTATTTGTAAACAAAAAAATACAAATTTAAATTAAGTGAATATTAAGTGAAAGACTTGAAGGTGCAGTAAGTAAGTGGAAAATATAAAATAATTTAATATTATCAAATTAAAAAAGAAACTAGTTTAAGTTAAATAAATATTAAAAATTTAGTGTTAACCCATTTTAATGAAATATTTAATGCAATAAATAAGATAAATAGCAATTAAAAAAGTGAAATTGAAATATAAGCGAAAAAATATAATTTAATGGAAATGAAAATTAAAAATGGTATTTATCAACTTTATTTACGCTGTAAATTAAATAAATTTAACCGAATAGTGATGTTATTATAAAATATCAATATTTATCAATTAGATAATTAGTTGCAGAAAATAAAATTAATTAATAAACGCAATAAAAAAAAAGCTTAAATAAAACAAAAATCTGTGGCAGAAAATTAATAAGGAAAATTAAAAAGAAAAAAATTTTGCAACTAAGCAAAAGACCTTTGCAGAAGTAAGGGTAAATAAATAAAAAATAACAAAAAATACATACAAAATTATTAATGTAAAAAATTGATGAAAATGAAATAAATTAGTATTATAGAAATAAAAAGCGTGCTTAAATTCTGCAAATTGTTGAAATAAAAAGGGCTTTATTTTAGTGAAAAAAACTATAATTAGAAAAAAGTTAGAAAAAAGCGGCATAGTTTATCTTAACGCTTAAGTAATCTGAAAAGGTAAGTTTTGTTTAGATTAATAATAATCATAAAAAGTTATTTGTTTATTTTTAATATAGTCAACTGTAAATAAAAAATTTGCTGTGAATCGATTTTACCTATTTTAATTAATAGGTCTCTTAGCATATACGTGCGGTTTGCCAAGAGATGATTATTATTCCATTATTCCAATATTGCGAATACTTCAGTAATATGAAGAAAATCTCAACCAAAAGTCGTCTTTTTGTCGTATTTTGATATTTTTAATGTCAAAAATGTTGCTTGAACGCTACAATAAGAAGTCGTTTTTGTAACAGATTGTGATTGGTGTGGAAAAATGGATCCATTATGACAACCCTAATGTTAGGCTAACCAGCCGAATCAAAGGCAAAGCCGAATATCCATGATGCTAAGGTAATGTTTTTGGCAGGATCCGATAGCAATTGCTGTGTTATGAGCTTTTAAAACCAATTGAAACCATTAATAGGGAACGCTACCG